TCAGGGCAGGGGTAGCTGGAAGTGCAAAACTCACACTTACCCTTGGTCTCTGCTGGAGCCATTTCAATGTCCTCCTGCAACAGAAACAGAGAGACGTGAGGTCCAGGCAGAAGGGCATAGGCAGCAAGCTGCACCCTGTGCTGGAGGGTCTTTCCTATGCACTCAGGCTCAGTCCCATGCGGCACTGGGGCAGGAAGGGATTTCCCCCCTGCTCAGACTGGTCCGGACTGGGGGGTTTTGCCTTCCTCTGCACAGCCTTGGCCTGGGCTCTCTGCAGCACCCATGACCCCCCTGGCGGCAGCAGGACATTGGCGGCCGTGGCCCCCCTGTATGCCAGGGCAGGGGCGATGCCTGGGGCTGTGTTGGGGCGACTGTGTTGTGCGGCTCCGAGGTCGGACACAGGGTTTGTCAGGGGGGTTTGGGTGGGGCTGATTCTGCCTCAAGCAGGGGCTGGGACTGGATGCGACCCCACAGCTCTCTGCCAGCCCCACTTCTGTGCTTTCTACATGCCCCAAGAGCCTTTCCACCCCACTGTGCCCAACTGCACTAAACCTGCTCCTCCCAGGGCAAGCTCTTTGCAATTAGGACTCACTCCAGCACGCACAGCCTAGGACAAAGCACCAAGCGTATTTCGACAGGTCATGATCCACCAATGCTAGCCTATTTAGTGCCTCACTCGGGGTCAGAGGTGCAGCAAGGGGCAGGACTTCAGGGGAAGTCACATTAGGGGCTCTCACCACACACAGCAGAGGGGGAAGCAGGGCACAGAATGACCCATAGCTTTGCTCTAGACCAGGTGTCAGGGAAGCAAGGGAGAGCAACATGGACACAACTCCGGTTGCCCCATGGTCTAGATCTGGCTTGCAAGGACCCCTGCAGCCCGGATCCAATTCAGGGCACAGGGCGAGTTTGACACCCTCAGTTTAGATCACAGATCGAGTCCATACAGGAGCAGAGATGAGCTTCGAGCTCTGCCATTCCCGGTCCCCAGCCCCTGACTGCTGGGCAGCGGAGCTTCGGGGCCTCTCTCATTGGATGCAGTTCTACTTTCTCAGCCTTTTTAGTTTGGAAGGAAAATGGGACAGGCCAATTCAATGCCGCTTTTAATTAAGAGAGAGGACCCGACATAGATAGCAAACGAAAGTCCCGGCAGACGGATGCCCTTCAAGTCCCCAATGGGCACCAGGAAGGTTAACAAAGCTGCTTGGATGCCGCAAGTGAAGCGTGGGCAAAAAAGTGTCAAGTGCCGAGATGCACACGCCGTGCCTCCTAGCATCACGTGTCTGAACTGCACTGTCTGTCCTGGGTATGCCCGAGGGCCCCCGAGACAGAGCACAATGATGGCACTGAGCAAACCCTGCTAACAGTCACGGGAGCGGGGCCAAGCCCAGCCACTCAGTCCTCTGCTTTGTTCAGGCCAGTCATTAAATGAGAACTGCTCACAGGTCCCCCAGCAGCCAGCACACGGTAACAAAGAGGTTTCTATCCGGGCCAGCTCACCCGCCCCGCCACCTCTCCCCGAGACACGTCCTTCGAGGCCTTCCCCATGCAGGAACAGCCCCACGTGCACAGACCGTCCAGGGGCAACTTTCTTCAAGCCGCTCACTGCCAAGCCTGGTTTCTTCCCCCTCCAGCCAGTCCGTGTCATCTCCAGCTCCCCACAAAGCCTTGGCAGCTTGTCAGGACAGAGTCTGCTGCCCCCGTTCCCTCCCAGCCCGCAGAGCGGATCAGCCTCACTTGCTACAAATCCTCCACAGCGTTTCTCAGCAGCGAGACACAGGACTGACCAGCTCACGGGTCACAGGAGCTGTCGGGGTGAGTCGGAGCCACGATACCGCAGGCACGAGGAGAGCTGCAGCCAGCAGCCTATGGGCCCAGACCGACAGCCACGGCACAGCGCACAGAGCAAGCTCCTAGCACAGCGCCACTGAGGATGGGTTTTATACAGCGTCATGCAGGCAGCTGAAACCAGGGGACAAGTTAGAGCCACTTGTGGCCTGGGAACCGTGGTTGAAAGAAATTCCCAAAGCGGTGAAAACCTGCAGCAATGGTGGAGTCTTAATTGAGGGGGACGTCGTTCGCCACGTCAGGCCGAAGTCAGTAGAAGGCGGGGAGCTTCACACCTTACAGACCAGCATTTCTCAACCTGTGCGTCAGGACTCAACGTGGGTCACGCGAATGTATGAAAGGGTCACAAACAAAATTGAAAAATGGATCACATCTTGCACGCATTTTTGGAAATAAAACAGATGTTGCTTGTGCCTCGCCACATGCTAATGTTGTGCGTGCTAATAAACAGGGATCCGGGTTTTCCGTTTGCTGTAGAAAAACGTTGATTTTCTCCTTTAAAGAGCCGCAGCCTGGCGCGTGAGCAGCAGGAAGTGGCAAGGGCAGCGCAGCCGCCTCCATCCATTACTCCTTGCGCTGCTGGCGGCACAGCTGGTGTGGGGGTCCCAGGGGCAACAAGTCTCGCTGCCCTGCGCCGGGTCCTGCACACTGGGCCATGGAGGCAGCTCCTGCCCGTGCCAGCGCGGCCAAGCTGCAGCCCCGTGCCCACTATGGGTGTGTGAATCTGGGGGGAGGGGGCAAAAACATGCTCCCCCCACGCTCTGCACCCCCCACCTCACACCCCCAACCCAGACACTGGGGGCTGGGGGATGTTTTCTACTTAAACTATTTACTGGGCCAGGACTGGCCATCACTGTTTACAAGTGGGTCCTGGCACAAAAAAGGTTGAGAACTGCTGTTATAGACTAACCAGAGGAGATCTATATGCAGCTACATAGTGCAAGCTTTCACGATGTGAGGTTCACATCAACTGTACCTGGTGAACTGAGCCTCAGCTTACAAAAGCTTGTACTATTTCTATAAGGTATACTTATAAGATATCTTACAGAAGTATACACACACACACACAAAATACTTTCTCACACACACACACGCGCACACACACAGAGTCGGAGAGAAGCCAGGCTGGGAGAGATCTCCAGAGGTCACATCCAGTCCAACCCCTGCCTGAGGTAAGATCAGCCCTGTCCAAACCAGCCCAAACACATCCATCACGTAAACTCTTGGTAAAACTACTGTCACCCCTGACACGACACCAGACATCTCACCCAAACCTGCCACAAGGAAAGCCCAAGAGGTCAGAATGCTTTAAACACCCTGGATTTGAGATCTCTGGTTTTATCATATGAATCCTGTTTGCACACCTAACAGTACTACCAGCACACTGCACCCTTGAAAGGCTCTGCAGGCACCCCAGGGTGCTGCAGCACCACGGTTGAGAATCGCTGGGATAAAACAATCAAAGGCACCGATACAGACCGGGGCCTCGGCAGGCCACAGGACTACAGAAAGCAGCGTGGGGTGGGGCTAGCACAGACTGCAAGCCGAATACAAGGCACCAGCGTGGTATTGCTGCCCAACACACTATGGCAGACGGGGCTGCACGAACAGGAGCATCTCAGGGAAGTCACAAGAAGTTTCTTCTGCTCTACTCAGCACTTGTCAGGCCTCGCCTCACTGGCCCGCATCCAAATGCGGGGTCTGGCACCTCAAAGGAAGACGTGGACAACTTGGTCCGAATCCAGTGCAGAGTAATAAAATGAAGAGAGGTCTACGAAACGGGACTTGGAAGGAAAGACTGAAAGAAATGGGGATACTCTGGAAAAGAGAAGACAGAGGATGAATTGAAAACATGTCTCCTAACACAGGATCTTGGAGAAGTTGCACTGGTATCTGTATACGTACAGAGGAGGGAGATCAATTGTTGTCTCTGCTCACAGGGAACAAGGCAAGAAGCTTGGGGGCTGGACTCGATGATCTTCCGAGGTCCCTTCCAGCCCTAATGTCTACGAAATCTATTAGCAACGAGCGTGAGTTGCAAGAAGAGATTTTGGTTGGAGACCGGGAACGACTTGGAGGGGTTCAGTGCTGGAAAAGATGGTGGGAGTCTCCAGCACCGGGGGTTTGAAGTGCAGGTTGGACAGACGCTCGTCTGGGTGGTTTAAATCGGGGATGATCCTGCCTGGGCGAGCCATGACCTCCCCGGGCCCTGCCAGCCCGGCTCGTCTATGATCCCGTGCAAGATGCAACTGGGGCTGAGGTTTGTCCTGCTTCTTCTCAGCCACAGGCTGGGCCTTGTAGGTCGGTTTCTTTGAAAAGATGCATCTCATTTCTGTGGGTGCAGGAGAGAAGAGCGATGGCACTCTCAGGAAGATCAAACCTGTTTGTGACCCACGTGCGGAGGAGACAAGTGTCCTTTGGGATCTGCACTGGACCACGACACCACACGACACGACACGAACTCCCTTAGCAGGTGGTGAGCAGAGCAGGGAGGGCGAGAGCAGTGTTTCCAAAGGGGCTTCTCCTCTCCAGCGCGCCAGGCTGGTGTTCGACCCCCCCAAGCCATCGACAGAGGAACCGAGACGCTAGCCACCCGATCCCTCCAGCTCGCACACACACCACACACACACACATGCCTAGCGCGGTGCCGCGTTTCTCCTCTGCTGACACAGGGCTGCTCCTAGCACGTGCTATACACATAGACTTTTTGCCTAATACTTTTAATCTTATGCATTTTCACGTCTCAGCCTCTTGAAGGCTCAGATCAAGCGCTGTATTGCTCTGTAGGCTTGACATAAGTCCTCGACAGTTGTACGCTGCATGTGGAAGAGAACAGGCGAGAGTGCGCCCGTGGAAAAGGAAAACATCAACTGGCGACTGGCTGAAGAACGTAGACGGATAAAAGACCGAAACAAGAAGAACCCGCCTCAAAACAGCGAGAGAACAACGGCGCTCGACCTTTAAGGAGGAACACAGCGATAACCCAGCAAAAGCCCAGAGGACTTAAAAGCTATAAAAGATGGGGCAAGACGTCTCGATTTTGGGTTTTGTTCCGCAGGGAGCACGGGTTCGTCTGACGAGACGGGAGCCCGGCTCCTACTCGTGATCAACTTGGCTGGCCACTACGCTCATCCGAGCACTGATGAGAGTGGTAATGTAAACCGGCGCAGGACAGAAATATAGCGTGTGTGCGTGTCTCGCTTGTGATTTGAGCGACTGGCGACTTGTGTCGCACACGCACGGACGGACGAACTAGGCGACATCCCCGCAGCCCTTTGCCAACGCCAAGGCCCGCGCCCTGCGAGCGGAGCCGGGTCTCCTCTCCGGGCCCGCCGCGTCCAGCGGGGACCAACCCCGC